TAGATATAGAATATGCATAAAATAATCAGTTGACAATAATTTCTATTATTATCCAATGATCAAGCATAATTATTACAAATAAACTTAAAATGTTGTAATAAGCCCTTGCACCTTTATAACAAAGAAAGGTGAGTCCTTTCAGCCACAGGCACCAGGTTATATGTCCATCAAAGTTTAAAATGGTAATTGATTTAAATGACACTTGCTTACAATATTGTTCTCGCATAGATTTTTTCATTATCAACAAAAGTTTAAGCATTTTACAAGGGTTAGTCCACATATTACAGTTTTTTCTTCTGTTCCATATCTCTTTTTTCTTTCATTTTTAATTTGTACGTTTAAGAAACACCTTTCGATGAGTAGCACGCAACACCACACTATATGCTTAAAACTGTCAGCAAGGTTACCCAATATCCCTTCAAATTGAATTATGTTCCTCTTCATAGTAGTTACGATTAGATAATATTTATGATGCCGACGCGACGCTAATTATCATACAAGTTGATTATTTAACAGAAGGAAATAGTCTCAATGATGAGAGTTTTGTCACAGGAATTAGAAGCCCTTTGTGTATCCAAGAAAGCAAAGGTAAGTAGTAAGACGATAATTAGTCGTAGCGTGCTTCCTTTACGATGATTACTATTATGAATAGTATTATATTCTTGTTGTATCCACCGCTACTGGCGTGAACCTCCTCTGCCTCTGCCTCGAGCACCATCCCGATCCTATAATAATAAACATATTATTTATCGAAATAAATTTTATCTTATAATTAATTTCAAATTTAGTTTTATTTATAATGTTATTAGTTACTTTGCGCTGATGATGTAAATGCGGATGATGGTCCCTTGACACATCTGAATGTCCTCTATTTCTGTGATTGGAAGGATGATGATGCTGTATAGCATTTGGTGGAGCTTTGCGTTGATCTTCCTCTGCTTGCTTACGTTCATAATGTCCAAAGTCATCAAAGATACTGGTTGAATGCCGATAAGTATGTAATATACGCAACACTGTAACGCCTTTTGCATGAGGGACTTCCTGTGCATCCCTTGAATTAGTCACTGGTTTATTCTCATTGTTTTCTAATTTAATGTGACGAAGTTGCACATTAGGAACATCCTTGACATAAATCCAACGTACACGAAATTGGCCTTTCCACTTATCTTGAGACCATACAGAGCTATTGCTTTTATAATCAACAGGAGATACCATTTGTGCCATACCACAAAAATGGCCAGAACCATTCACAGAAAAGAACAAGTATAAAGGTGCACCTTCACGACTGGCTTCTCTATATGCTTGATCTAATCTTTTATTACCATGTTCAGTACTGCACCAAATCTCATATTTAATGGATCTATGAATATCATCTTCAGAATAGGATTTGATTACAAAAAACCTAGCTCCAGGAGCAGTTTGATCAAATTCTACAGGATTATAATCATTTTTCACTTTCAACTCATCTAAAACTGGATGTGATTGTGATTGCGTTATTTGCTGTTGCTGTGGTTGTAGTTGCTGCTGCTGCTGTGGCTGTTGTTGCTGCTGCTGTTGTTGTTGTTGATGTTGATGTTGTTGTGGGGGCATGTGAATCTGTAACTGTGGAGGTGATGGAGGTGTTGTAGGCTGTCTATTCCAACATGGTGGAGGAGGAGGAGGTCTCTGTCTCTGAGACAATGGTGGAGGTGGTGGAACAGGAGGTTGTACCTGCGGCGGTGGTGGTGCTGTTGGAGGAGGTGCAGAAGATTTACCTTCACCCCATGTTCCAATGTCCATATTATGCTTTCCTGGCACAATAGGTGGTGGTGGCATTCCAGCCTTCTTTTTCATTCCTTGAGAAGATGAAAGCGGAGGAACAGGCTTTGCAGGTTGGCTTGCAACACTGGCCCATGTTATCTTTCTAGGTTCTTTTGCCTCTGGCTTTACTGGTTGATTAGATGAAGTTTGTTGATCCTGACGTGGACCTTCTCCACTTCCTAGTGACAAGCCTTGTACACTCTGTTCAATAGTCTTAATTTCCGTGTTACTAGGTGTTGGATAATTTTCATTTCCACGTGGAGCCTGATAATAATCTTCATAGCGTGTTTTTCTTGGTGTACCCCAAGCACTAAAATCACCATTTCCATGAAAATAATTGAAAGCAGGCTGACCAAATGTACTGAAACCACCTCCTGCACTAGCAGAAAACATTCCATCCATGCCATATGCATCATGACCTATTTGACCTCCATAGCCAGAAAGAAATGCAACGGGATCTGTTCCATTTGACCAAGTACCATCCCCAGCACCAAATGTTTGATAAGGGAATGAAGTACCTGCATAGTAAGGACTATATGGGTCACCAGTTCCAATTGGATAACTTGAATGATGTGTACTGTTGCCTCCTCTCCATGAATCAAATCCAGTATCTTCTCCACCAGCATGTTCTGTCTGTGGCTGCTGCTGGTGTTCTTTAGGACCATTGCTCACTATAAGGATGGAATTTTATTTTATTAATGTACTAAATGTACTTTTCTTTATGAAATACTTGAAAATTAATCTTTCAAAACTTGCATTCATATAATATTTAATCAGAATAGAATATTATAATATATATTTAATAAAAATAT